TGGCGAAAACTTCAAGTTTGGAAACTTTAACAATGATGGAAGCCGTAGCTGGAAGCCGTTGTCGAAGAGCACCGTCGATGATGGCGATACAATCTATTGCTACGCAAAGCGGAGATGGCACCGTCTTTCTATCGCACTGCTCACGAAAAAGACGCCTCTCTATCACTCTACGTGCAATGATGTTGTCGTTCACAATGTTGTTGTACTCTAGCTACACTGCTGATAGTGTTAGTGGTTCATGGTGGTTCGTAGTAAGTGTAATGATGTCATTGTTACTACAGTTGATGGGATCCTATTTTGAAGAGTACCGCAATGTTTTCAGTCAATTGGATCTGTTGAGGTGGTGGTGATGTGTGGTTGTTGTTCTAGTGGCGATGGTTTTGGTGATGTGGTAGTTGTGATTGGATATGGTGGGTTTTGGTTCTAGTGTTAGTGGTTTTGGATAGTGATGCGACAGCCGGTTGGATCTTTTTAAGTGATGATGATGTGTGGTTGTCATGGTGGTTCTAGCGACGGTAGTTTTGGTGATGTGGTGGTTCTTATTGGATCTGGTAGGTTGTGGTTCTAGCGACGGTGATTTTGGATGGTGATGCTATGGTCTCAGTCGATAGAATCTATTGAGGTGGTGGTGATGTGTGGTTAGCGATGGTTGTTATTAGATCTGGTGGGTTGTGGTTCTAGCGACGGTGGTTTTAGATAGTGTTGCAGTGATCTCAGTCAATGGCGTTGCTAGAGGTGCTAGCGGTGGCGGCAAGGATGAAGAGTGTTCGTGACCAACTATTTATGTGTTTGTCTACATGGTTGATTTGTGTCCAAGTATTGGTAGTGAATTAGGATTGAGGGTGTCCAACTAATTTGAAAATATGTGACCGCTAAATAAGTTGTAACCTATAAAAATTGTGATTTGTGACCAATAAATAAATTGTGACCTATAATACTTTTAATATGTGGCTGAAAAATAATTCATGATCAATTAATTTGATAGTTATTGATCAATAAATAAGTTGTGAATAAATAAGTTGTGACCTATAATTATGTAATTGTGACCATTATTTGTATAATCGTGACCTTAATATATTTCATTAATAAAATATTTTTAATTATTTAGTTATCACCTGAAATTTGAAAATTTAAACTAATTATTTGAGTTTTGAATTGTCCTATACTTTACACTTGAAATATGAATTTTTTCCTTTAAAAAATAAAAATGAAAAGAATTGGGTTGGACCCAAAGTTCAATGCAAGCCTGTGCTTGCACTGGACTCTATTGGGCTTCGCCCACTGATGCTAAGTCATTTTGAGTGAACGGAGACAACTCAAGTAATTTGAGGGTCTTAGACAATTTAAAAAGGAGACCTTTTCATAAACAATATAATAAATTCAACGGATCATAGATTAATAATATAAATCTCATCAATGATTGTAAACAATATGATTGTTGGTGATTATGATTGATATCAATATCTGTTTGTGTTTCATACAAAATACCGATAGCAATATCGTTAGTTATCAAAAAAATCATAACGGATGGTGCTCTAGACGCGAATTAGTTTTTTTTCTAAGTTATTGACAAATAAATGAAAATTTATTTTTCACTTTTCTCCATAATATTTTCTTAGTGTTATAATTGCTGTTAGAATACTCCATAAAAAAAAACAAAAACAAAAACAATCAATTTTAAAATTGAGGGAACACAATAGATCGGGACTTTAGTGCAAATGACTCAAGCTATGTTTTATTATTATTTTATGAAGTGGGAATTGATAAAGATATCACCGAATTGTGACAATCTTTAATCACGTAACGGAAGATGCGGCAACGCAATTATGGTATACCAAAAAGGTGATCCCGTTGATCTTGCTATTCGTAATCCATTTGCAAATATAAGATTCTTTTCTTCAACTTCGATTAATCTTAATTTATTTGGCTAATTATTTTAATTTACTTAACAAATAAGCAATCAACAAAACTGTCTAAAAGGTCGTTTTGACATTTGACCTATACTATAGGGCCCAAATAGTGTCGGCTGCCAATTGAAAAAGAAGAGGCAGGATGGAGGTGGGTCCACCACAAAAAGCAGAATCCAGGGACCCAATGGTTAGAAAAGCTGAAAAATATAATCGATAAGCACGATACGGTATGTCACGTCTCTAGCTACAAAATATGATACGTGATAGGCAACAAAGCAAAAATTTTCGTAAAGTTAGTACTCCATTTCGCAACGCCTTTTTCACGTGCCTCATCGTATGCGATTGGGCCATAATTTTAGATGTCTCGCTTGGGATACTATGTTATTTGAGGTGATGCATCAAATTTTCCTACTGTATATATCTGAGGCAAGGGGTATATGCTATGAGCCTTGCCTCGACCAAGATGCAGAGTACTCTCCAGAAAAGTGATTGATGTAATAGGCCTGCAACGACAACATCCATTCAGATCACATTTTTTCGGCATATATTCAACATATGTAAATCACATGATACAATTAAACTTGAGAAGTTAGATGTTAGAATGTTGTACATGTTAAGCATCCAGATGAGCATTTTCTACCCCTCCCCTCATCTTATAAATGCTTCGGTTGTACTACATGTATATAATAATTAATAGGTTTATATACAATGATATGGCAAGATATAAGAGAGTAAAATTTCTTTAATCAAATAAAAAAATACTCCCTTATTGACACATCATCTGTATGTAAATCATTATGTAACTTTTAATGTATAAGTTACATTATTTTAAATACTTGAGTCTTTTCTCATTCAAAGGTAAGTAAACACAATGCATGTGTAATTTACAACCTACACCCATATTTTCGTTAATTATGTGTCTTCCACACTCAATATATTTTATTATTTGAATTGACTCCGTCGCATCGAAGAGTACATGCGAGCGTTGCATTCCTTCGAAATTGTAGTTTATATAGTTTAACGTGATTATCCAACTATACAGATAACATATACATGAACGAGAGAGATGAACGAAAATCTGCTGACATATGAATCTCGTAAAATTCAAGTGTCAACACGGTCTGTCCTTCTATTTGTTTCTCATTTTTGCTATAGTGGCCGATGGTGCTTTTATAACATTTTCTGAATTTTTATAATATCAATTGAATTTGAATAAACTGACTGATACCGAGTAGGATAGTGATTATCCTATTGGCTTGTTGTAGCAGATGATTCGTAAGAAAGAAACGAAAGAAAAACGCCCAAAAATCAGAGAATATACTCTGAAATCAACTCAATATTATTAATAATGCAGAATGACCAAAATTAACCCATAAGCCGGGTTAAATAGCTGCAAAATACGAAATTATAAGAAAATTACCAAAAATGGCAAAATCTCGAAATTACACCGGGATAAAATATTAAGTAAAAGAAATAGATTGCCAAAAATTTGGCTCAATTCGAGTTTTCTAACATATAGAAAAAGAGAAACGAAATATTACCATAAATAGCAAAAAATAACTAAAAATTGAATTTTGGAAAGGAAAACAGCGGATTTTGGGCTCGAAATTGACGCCCACCGAGAACAGCTTGGTGACCACAACGTGTGCGCCGAAGAGATTTTTTCGAATTGGGGTCATAATAGCGATTCTGATAACCGTAACCAAAGTTATGTCCAAATTATCAAAGACGTATCAAATTCTCTCAATTAAGGAAATAATTGCGATTTACTTTCCATCTTTACGTCAATCCGCCATCTCATAGTATCTCAGCACCATTATCGTGTTATCTAACAAATCAGCATCAGTCGACTCGAATTCTCCTACATCAGAATTTGACCTAATACACACCCCTACCGGCACCATATGTAAATTACTTTGCATGACGAAGCCTCTCTACTTCTCTTCCGCGTAGCTGCCAGCTTCCTCGCCACGGGTCTCTGACTGTGTGACACATTGGACCCTCAAAAACACATTCTTATTCCTCACTTCACTCAAACCACTCACTGTGTGTAAAAAAGTAAAAAAAAATCTAGAGCCCCTCAAGGTATGTGAACGAAGTATTACAGACAAAAAAGTGTAAATTGGGTTTTGTTCGTAGAGTGATGGCGAAGAGTGGTGTTTTGGAAGGCGGTCCAGGACTGGTGGCTAAGACCATGGAATTGAAGAGGGAATTGCATAAATTGGTCAAGGTAATTGTTGATGACGAGGATGTTAACTTGGAGGCAATTGATAAAGCCCAGCAAATGCTCTCTGCTTTAAAGGAATTGAAGATGAATAAGTATCCATCTCTATATTTTCATAATAATTCTCGCCGTGAAGTTGTTTCTGGTGCGGTGCCTGAGGAATTTAAGTGCCCACTTTCTAAAGAACTCATGAGGGATCCTGTTATTGTTGCCACCGGACAGGTTCGTAATTTTACTTCCACGAATCAGATTTGATTTTGTTCATATCATTTTTATGTGAAATTGTTTGCATATTTGTTAATGTGTGTATGTGTTCGGATTTTGTTTACTTTGTTAAACTGTATCTGGGTTTGGCAGTTTGAGGAATTTATTTCTTCTTCTGGACTTTGAATATTGATTGTCACGAGATAATTTGCAGGATTTCGATCATCATTTCTCTTAATTTGTTCTGCAAATGTGCACTCTGAATTTTTGTATATATGTGACTGAACAGAGGAAATTTCTAACTTTGTGTCTTTCTTTCGATAAGTTTATCATTCAGAAATCTGCAGTAATTTCTCTAAAATTTTAGGAATTTTGACTTATTTGGTTCTCGGATTGAAGTTGTTTTATGTGTCTATCTTTTGGTTGTTATGTTGACATGAAGATATATCTTTATTTGGAAATTTTAAGATCATAGAAATCAGTTTCTTGTTTAATGTTGTTTCTTGTTCATATTGTTAACATTCTTGCTACAATTTGTGCAGACTTATGATCGATCCTTCATTCAGAAATGGTTAAAATCTGGGAATAGGACTTGCCCTAGAACCCAACAAGTACTATCGCACACTATCCTTACACCTAATCACTTGATTAAGGAAATGATATCGCAATGGTGCAAGAATCACGGGATTAGATTGTCTGATTCTGCTCAATATCTTGATGAGGATGCCTTAACCAGAGATGACCGGGACCAGTTCCTTTCTTTGCTTGAGAAAATGTCGTCAACATTGTCTGATCAAAAGGAAGCAGCAAGAGAGATGCGGCTATTGACAAAAAGAATGCCTTCGTTCCGGGCACTTTTTGGTGAATCTTGCAGTGCCATACCTCAGCTGCTGTCCCCGCTATCTCAAAGCAAATCTCAAAATGAGGTTCAACCGGACCTCCACGAAGATATAATCACAACACTTTTGAATCTCTCCATTCACGACAACAATAAAAAGCTCGTTGCAGAAACGCCCATGGTTATTCCGCTTCTTATGGATGCTTTGAGATCAGGAACTATCGGAACAAGGAGTAATGCAGCTGCAGCCCTTTTCACCTTATCGGCTCTTGACTCAAATAAGGAGCTGATTGGTAAATCCGGTGCTTTGAAACCTCTCATCGACTTATTAGAAGAGGGGCATCTTTTAGCCGTGAAAGATGTTGCGTCGGCTATTTTTAATCTATGTATTCTTCACGAGAATAAGTTGAGAGCTGTTAGAGATGGTGCAGTTCGTGTTATCCTAAAAAAGATCATGAATCGAATGCATGTTGATGAATTATTGTCAATCCTCGCTATGCTTTCAACGAGTCAAACAGCTGTCGAGCAAATGGGAGAGCTCGGGGGAGTTGAATGCTTGCTTAGCATAATCAGGGAGACGTCTTGTGCTCGAAACAAGGAGAATTGCATTGCAATCCTTTTCACTATTTGTCATAGCGACCGATCCAAGTGGAAGCAGGTAAGGGACGAGGAAAACACATATGGAACCATCTCTAAGCTCGCTGAAAATGGCTCATCCAGAGCTAAGAGAAAGGCCAGTGGCATACTTGAAAGACTGAACCGGGCAATCAATCTTACCCATACTGCATGATGGTGGGTATGACAGCACATATTCTGTAAATTCTACATATTTTCATTTTCCTTCATCATCGACAATTGAGGTATCTTGTTGTCATTTTCGACGTTCATTCTGTATATTTTATTATCTAAGCAGCAGGGCTTGATACTAAGAGCACCTCCAATTGTGGTGTAAAATAGATTAAAGTTATGAATTAAATCTCCAAAGTGGCTGAAAACCTTCCCAACGGGGGGACGCAAAGGAAATGCAAATTGCATATTCTAACATCTTTTTTTACATCCACAATAGACAAAAAGTGGATTTAGCAGAATTTGAATTTAGATCCGAAGGGAAGTAAATGAGAATGTAAAAGTGGTTTTGGAGATACCAATTTACACCCAATTTCACACCACCATTGGATATGCTTTAAGTATATGGTTTGTGCATAATACACCCAATTTCACACCATCTTTTTTTTTTTTTTTTTTTTTTTTAAAGAAAGCTTTTCAATATTGTTCAAACATTGTTGCACATGGTTTTTGAGCAGACTGCATTAATATGTTATGACAGCATTTGCTTTGCTGGTTTCTTCCTATGATTGCTATTTTATGGATTCTGCTTTATTTTTCTGTCAAATAATTCCTGCACATGGGTTTTTTCTTAGATCCCATAAATTTCAATAAACCATTGATTATTTAATTTCCTTGAAAGATACACATGATGTATTTTTACGTGTCTTGAACAGTACTCGTTCAACAAGATACATCATCCTATTTTTCCGATAAATATGTGATTGACTACATAAACCTTTTCCGGACACTGTTCATATATTTCCTTGTTATTTATTGGATTTAATTGCTGTAATTTTTCAACCTTGCTCCCTGTCCCGACTTAGGGACAAGCCTATCCCTGACAAGCGCCCCTCCAATAGGGGGGCCCCATGTGGCGCTCATGTTTTCAACCTTGTCCTCGAGTCGGGGCAGGGCTTTATTCCTAATCTTTCATGTTTGCAAACTCCATTGTATGAGACGCGTCGAAAGCCAATTGACATTATGAATATGTCTATGACGATTGAATAAATGGTTCCAGATTGGGATGAGAAAATGATAAATTTGGAGTTTAAGATCATTGCTCAAAAAAGTGCACTTTTTTAGAAAAAGATATTTCTCCTCGTAAGATATGATAAACAACAGACAGACATGAATATCGAAGAATCCGATTCAGAAGCAAAGGGGAAGAAGAACAAACAGATTAGGCAAATAGGAATATTTCAAATATGCCGAATAAATTTTATCGTTTTGCACAAGATGTTCTGTCATTCCATATTCTCCCATATTTCTTTACTGTTTGGTAAGGTGGAAGGATGGTATTCACCTCAAAGAAATTAAAATTTCGTATATTGTATTATAAATCATGTTTAGCTAATTGAAATCTGTCGAATGCTAGATTTAACACACACACACACACACACAAAATAAATAAATAAATAAAATAATAAATTTGAATTTCACGGACACCTTGAAAATATGAATATTATAGCAAGCACATGGGCCCTGTTTTTCCGGGGGACAAGCACCCTGCCAATAAGGCGTGGACGCATATGTGGCCCTGCTTGAGAAAAATTATTCCGAGAGAAGATAAAAGTTTGGATGGAATTGACAATTCTTCACTTAAACAAGCCGTGATTCTATTATTGGAAATGGGATTTTGTCCACAATTGATAATTAAACATTTTAACCTATTCATATATTGAAGAGCTTCCTCCCATGGTGGTACCTACTCCTTTCATTATCAGCTTAGGAAAGATGGACAAAAGGAAAGGCAGCCAAAAAGGAAGCATTATTTGTAAACTTGCTTTTTCAATAAATGTTAAATTTAAATATTCTCCAAAAGTTATACCTCGAACTTTAATCTAATCCTCATCCGATAGCAGCAGGTAGAATTGGACTGGTCTTCAAAGGAGATTCTTTCTATAAGTACATTAGAAGAGCTTGAAAGTATAATAAATAAAATTTTAACTTTTTAATACTGAAAAATATTATCCATATATCCCGGAAATCATGAACTAAGAAAATATAAACAAATAAGATTATAGCTTCACACTTAATCCTTTACTGGTTTGTTGAAATTGAATTCATTTTGAGATGCAACATATAGAGGACTCAGTACTGGACATCATGACTGACAATAAACCCAGATTTAACTTCTTCTCTCTAAAAATGTTTAACGCGGTCAAATTCAATACACCAAACATGTCGTAAATGACGAAAGGAATCTACATAAAAGACTCTTAACAAAATGCAAGACAAACTTCTTTAAACCCAAATTCTCCCATTGTAGAAGTTTCAATAAATTGAAAATGGGGGTCTGCCATGTGTAGTTTCTGCACATATGAACTACACAGCTGGGCACCGAGCACATATTGTGCCCATAGTCCCACACTTAAGAGAACACATTTAACTAATTCATGTGATCCTTATCTTCATCCAAATAATGTAGCTAAGGACATATGTTTCCATTGTGCAACATTAGGCAGCATCAACCTGGAATCAAGCCACTCTCTGGGTACCATACAAGTCCGAGAAAGGCCGTGCCAACCTTTTCTGGTGGGACAGGTCGGTCTTACCGGTAGGCCTAGCACGGTCCCAATTGCGTGCCTTGAGCCTACTTATCCTATTTTTAAACCTCCCCGAGCTAGGTAAGTTTTTGGACACTGTCACTTCACCCACAAAGAATTGAATCCTTCCAACTTCATAACCAAGTTGTAGAGAAGATAGATAGAACGTCATTGTAGACAAACATTCATAGAGAGCATGAATAAGCCAGGAAGAAAATTCAAGAAAGAAACCAAAACCCAAGGAATGCAGGAATTGATGATATGGAAAATATTTTTTATATCTATGGATAGAATTCTACTATCACACTGTACAAGTTCAGAAATAGATACTGTACATTTCCAAGACGTCCAATTTGACAACCCACTTGTCAAAGTATCATAGAGTAAATGGGGATTTAAATGCTGAGTATAATAGAGCAACTAACCATGACGAATGTCTCAACCTGCTTGATCCAAACTGAAGAGAAAAGATGAGCATTTACCAGAGCCATACAACCAACAAAGAGCAAGACTATCAGTCTGTCTTGTAAGCCCACCCATGTGTCTCCAGAAATGCATGCACGGCTTCTTTTATGGCCAAATTGGGCACCAACTGTGATGGATACAGTGGTTCGCGGCTAACTGGATCAAACTTGCCAACCTTAAAGGAGAAAAGTTGAGGATCAACTCATGACACCGGAGGATAAAAATGTGCATATAAATGGAAATGACAATTATCAATTAGGAATACCTTCAGCAGATGATCAAGAATTACTGCTCTCTCATATGTAACTCCACTTGGAGCAATAACAGGATCACGGAAAATATCTAGAGTAATTTTACAGCAGAGATAGTCTGGCACCTGAAATACTCAATTGGTGTCACGCTGTCACAAGAAATAAAATCCCATTAAGGGGGAACTTCTGTGAAGGAAACTCAAAAAGCTTACCTCAGTTGGGATATCATCTTCAGCAGCTTTGTTAAATACTCTACTTAAAGCTTCCAATTGTTCTAAATTGGATTGGGTATTTTCATCCGTGAATCCTTCAATTTGTGAATCATCAAGGAAATGTTTCTCCTTCAAAGCTTCCTCGCATGTTTCTCTGAGACATGGGAAGACAATTAAGATACAATCATACTAGCAAAGCAAACAGAAATAGAAGAGGAATCACAGAAGATAAAGACCCAGACTTGAAACAGAAAAGAGCAATTACTTTAAATTCTGAAGATCCCATGAACGTCTGGTAGATTCCTGTTCCCACAACAAATATCTTGCTCTTGCAAGCTCTTGCCATATCTCCTCTACCATGTAGCCCTTTGGGTTCGCACCCCTTCCAAGATCCAAGGCCTGAGATAGCACAAAAATATTAAAAACATTCCCATCATTAGTAATTATCCTTTTCCACAAATTTCATAGTTTTGCAAGTAAACAAACAATCATAACACCATGAATGCCACTCCCATCTATCACCTTAATATATCAAAACAATGTTATGATAAGACAAGCATAAGGAGGTTAGAAACCTGGTGTAAAGCATGAAGAAAGAAATTTTACAGAGTAGGCAACCTATCAAAATAAACCACTAGAGCAAAAGGCCACCCAAAAACTAACCAAATTATACAGCACAGGTTATCCTAAAAAGCTAGTGTACCATCCAACAAGGCATAACAGGTTAAGTAATATTGAATTCCACAAGAGCGTGACAGATTTTCAGAAAGCAACAAGCAGCTCTTGAGGGAGAGACAAACAAAAGAAAAAATGGGTGAAGTTGAACCTGGCAACTTATCTATTTTGAGCATAATCTGAGGCAAATAGGATTCCATTTCTTAACACTTAGCATTATCTAACGCTTACATTGGTCATTCATACAAGTCTTGAAGAAAGCATATGCCTCCACAAAAAGCTTAATGGCATTTTAATATTTTTCGGAATTAAAAAAAATCTGGATGAAATAAAACCACGTACTTTTTCCAATTCCCAGGCTCCTTCGGCGTATTCTTCCCTTTTTAGCAGTGCAAGACCAAGCATATAGTGTGCCTGCCATAATGCAAAGCACTTAACTTGAAGGGAGACAGTCAAATAAGAGAACTGTAAAATGCACAAGTCAACAACAGTGCTCCAGAGTGTAAAACTCTTAGCAAAAGGCCAGAATTTTCCTGAAGGGAACATAACATTCAGTAGTACAAAGGAAGATGTGACAAAGAAAAATGACACAATACCATCAAACAGAGCAAGCATGCTACAGCAGAATCGACAGAGATCAAACCCAAACCCAGAATAACCAATTATATATGTCAAACATTTTCCATTTGTCATGTAAGGCAGGCTGTTGGATTTCCAGGAAGCCATTATCAATGATTGAATATATTCCACTAGACAACTGAATGATGAAAAATCATGTCTAATATATTTCACCATTAGAAAGAAATCTTCACTGTAAACTTTTGCAGTCCTCGTGTCATATACTCATGAAACAATACAATAGACCTTTTTGGAAATAGAACTTGTGCCTCATCAACATGACTTAGAATTGAGGCTGGCAGAATTTATTAAATGATGTCCTGAAGCAGATTGATCTAAATTCTTGCAATCTATAGAACAGTTCGCAAAGAGTAGATAATCATCGTTAGCAAACAGTTTATACACACTCTATGAGAAGAGGTCAATGCAATTACAGGAAAGTTGATCCACTGGGGGCTAATTTCATCACCAAATGTTAGAGCTCAAATTGTTGGACCATTTCATCCATAAGACAGAACTGAAAGCAAGATGTAAATGTTGGAACACCAAGGACAGAAGCAAAATAAGCAAAAAACTAAGCTAGGCGAGGAAAGAAGCAGCAAGAATGAGCATTTTCAAAGTTGATATCACTAACTTTTAATTGGTCGACGAACTCATGCATGTGAAATTATTTACCAAAGAAAGAGAAAATTTGAAGTCATCAGATTCAATTCATAAGTTGAAAAATCAGAAATGTTCTACTAGAGGATCCAAAGAAGTATGAGCGATTAAGCTTTCATTCCTTAAGTTTCAGCATCAAATCCATATTTTTCTCAATGATTAGATTTGATTCAGAAATTGAGAATACTCTAGTACAGGTTCCTCATAAGAAGTACAAGTGATGAATCTTTCCTTCATTTCTTGCAATGTTGAGGCGTTAATATTGAGACTTCAAAATTTATATGCAATCATGATTACTGACGTAGTAAATTCAAGGACATCGGACTCGGAAATTCTATAACAGGGGAAGCAAAAATATTAATCATGAAAAAAAATAAAAAATAAAAAACTCCAGCAACAGAAACAGAAACAGCAACTCACAGTTATTTAATCCACAGACTGAATCAAGACACCAAGGCTTCTCAGAACTTAAGCACAAAATCCACCTTCACATTATATTCTAGATAAAACTTTAGCAACTTTAGTAAATTGCAGCAGAAAACAATTAAAATTCAATGAAGGTTCAAGTGAAACCAACATTAAATAATTTTTGGACGTGATTTTATATGCATCACATAAACAAATACCCTTTCAGCACCCAAATAATCTGAAAAGGATAGTAATTCAGATGAAAAGGACTCTAAAAGCCCAAAATTTAATTAAAACCGCTTCTTTTCTTCTCATTTTTGCACCTCACACATTTTCCTTCGTTGGAGCTCTGCGCATCAACACTGGAAAAAAAAAACCTTCCTGTCTTGGCTATTGCCACAACCCTAAAACTAAGTAGCAAATTGCAATGACAAAATACCAGCAGTAATCATTACATTTGACTCAGTTGCTTAAGATGCCTCTTAACTAAAAAGGCATTGGTACAGAAAAAAATTAATATGCCATTTAGAAGTTGAAACCCTAAATCCTAAAAAGGCATTGGTAGAGAAAAAATAACATGATATTTAGATGTTGAAATGTTTCGCCAACATCTAAAAGATCTTATAATGAACTATAAAGCACGGGCATGGGTTGACTAATGATCTTTTTCTCAATGTAGCTCAGTGTTTTAAAAAGGCAAAATCGGGTACTGAGGGGTTTTCTTTCGTGAGGCGAGAAGAGATCTCACCGTGAACAAAAAAAATGCAAAAAATACAAAAATAAACCACAAATGTTAAATACTCAAACAATATAACTTAAAGATCTAAGGTGATGTTAATTTTATCTCCCGAGTGATGACCCGTCAATGAAGTGTAAGTTCTAGGGTTACATTGTGATATACGTATGTTGTGTGTTTTATATATAATGTATTTTATCATATGACACATTAATATACAATCAAAGAAAATAATTAGGTCTTGATATAGAACATTGCTACATGTACACTATGGTGTACACTTTAATTTACACTTTGTCACGTGTTATTATCCTATTGGACAGTTTAAATTTCAAACAATTTTTTTATTCAATTGACACTTAACAACAATACAAATATCAAAAATCAGTGTACAAATAGCAAAGTTCCTTAATATATAATGGGTTCCAATGATAATTTATGGCTAATAATCAAAGAAATTAGGTATTATTTATTAAAATGTTATGGATTTCAAAAGCTATTTTAATATATGGTATATTTCCAATGAAGTAAACCAATAAGATTACGAGACCTCCAAAGAAAAAGTGATTTTCGACATAACTAAAGAAAGGCTCACGAATCTCACTCTCCGAGGCTTATGCCTCAATCACTAAAGGCGAAAGCCTTATTTTGTGCAAAAAAATAAACGTTTTCTGTCCCTGCCCAACACTGAGGTTGCCTAAGTCACAATTTTTTAAACCATAATATAACTAGATCTTCAACATCAACAACATAATTTTAGTCTAATCTACCCTCTTCTAACATGTTCTGCTAATTGGACCGACTTTGAGTATAATCAAAGAGTATCTCAACCATCTAAATTCTCCTTCCTTAATTACTCGTCAATTACTATCACATCAATTTATTAGCATTAATACTCTTGTTTCTTATTTTATCCCTTTGATAGAACCACACATTTAGCTTCACATCGTCATTTTCACTATGTTTAAAACATGAACTTTTGTCTTTTAAAAATCCAACATTTAGTACCATAAGTATAATATGTTTAGTAACTTGTAGAACTCGCTTTTTAACCTTATAGGAAACTTCATATCACATAGAATACATGTGGCCCTTGTCCCTCCAATCCACTCAAATCATATGCATTACACCCTCTTCGACTCATCCTTACAAATAAGCAAACATAAGTATTTTAATCCCATGCCAAGTTCATGTTTATAAATTGTAATGATCAAACACTTTTCATCCACAATTCGTATGACCACCTACTTATCCACCATTTAGTTTTATCTATTTATTTAGGCTGCTTATAAACACTTCCCGAATGATAATTAAAAGTCATTGTTTTGGGACAAGATCATTTAAAGTGAATCATTATTATCCTTATTCCTACTATTACTAGAATGGCCACTAGTTAAAAAATCACATGTGCAATCTACTTTTTGAGAAAATATGGATATTAGAATTCTAGTTCTTATATAACAGTATTTTCTGTTGCTTTTTAATCTCCAAAAAAGCTAAATCATTATTATCCTTATTCCTACTATTACTAGAATAGCACTAGTTCAAAAATCACATGTGCAATCTATTTTTTGGGAAAATATTAATAATAGAATTCTATTTCTTATATGAAACGGTATTTTCTGTTGCAATTCAAGTTCCAAAAAAGCTAAGCATCAGAATCATTCTTTTTGGAGAAAGTTCCCACAATTATATCAAGTTTCTTCCACTTTGTGAAGTGATAATGTTCAACTTCAATTTCTAAACTTCTTTAAGATAAGATTGTCTCTTAAAAAATATTACACTTCCTCCTCTAGTAATGAATTACCTTATTTTCATTTTGGTTGTCCAGAATGTTCTCTTGCCTACTATGGGCCTTTTTTAATTACATAATGTTACTGAAAGAGGTACTTAACCAGTATATTGAGTTTTTAATTGTCTCATATCTTAACTTATTGAGCTGCACAAAACTTCCTCAACTCCAGAATTAGAAACATTTTTTATTTTTGATTTTTATTCCCTTTTACTTGCTTGCCAACTATGAAATTCAATATTAAGAACCAAGACTTGATTGAATTTATTCTCCCAAAAGCACGCATTTGATATCTTATGAATAAGGAATCAACAATCCCAAAAAAGTTAACAATAACAACTGAAAGGATGGAACTATAATAACCCCCCCCCCCCAAAAAAGAAATAATAAATTTTTAAAAAAAATTTTAAATTTAAAAAAAAAAAAAAACCCCCCCCCCCCCCCCCCACACAACACATACAAAGAGAGAGGGAAAAAAAAACACAATTTTCCCAATCTCCAAAAAGCATATGTGGAAGAAGAGGTGTGTGTTCTCCACTCCTACAGAACGAAGCAAATGATAGGTACTTCGTTTAATCAACCAAACCTGCCCGCCCACAGAAAAGCCTCCAATGTTTTGAAAATTTTGATTGTCAATATTAAAAGATGCAAAGGAACCGCAATAGGTATTCTGAAATTTTCATATACAAGAATCACAGGCCCAAAAGTTATCTCAAATATCAACTGCAGAAGATTAGACTGATTATAAAATAATTCACATGCTCTACCAAATGGCATAAGATAACTAAATTGTATGGCTATTTAGTTCATGGAGCACCAACAATGGGAATAGTAAAATGGAGATTTTTTTGGTGTGTTGATGGAGATCGGGCAAAGATAACTAAGGTAATAGAGTCAAAATAAGTGAAAAAGTCTGCGAGTGTGGGTGGGGAGAGTAACTGTAGCGGTGGTGAACATTGAGCAACGTTGTAAAGTGGTTTAAACTCAGTTAGTAAGCAAATGCCATCAATTATTTGGTTCTCGTGATCACAATAAACTTGAGCCATGGTGACAGTAATTGTAAAAAACATTTGCGGCCATTACACTGTTCAGCCTCCGGCAATGCATAATCTAGATCCAAGTCTTCCAAGCTTGTTCTAACTGCTTTTTCTCTTTACTACCGTCTTAGTACTGAAATAGTGTTTTTCGATGTAAGCACAATCATCTTCATATAAAGTGAAATTCAATGGATACTAAAAAATCCCAAGGAGATAAAATAATAAACAAAAATAAATAATACCAGAGTATTTAAAACATTACGAAAAATCAAACAACACCAAGCCAGTAAAATCTATGAAGTCATTTATAATGATTACAAGTACACCAGACCTTAACAGAATTGTGATCGAGCTGAATTGCTCTCCTACAATCCTCCTCCACTCTGGTCCAATCACTGCACCCACAAAAACAGCATCAAACTTTCAATCAAGAAAATAAACATTTAAAGTCACTAAAAACAAACAAAAGTCATTCAACGTTTTAATGGGTATAAATTATAATGACAAAAGAATCAAAAATTTCAATCAAGAGAATATATATTCAAAAGTAACCAAAAAAAATCACATTTTAATGGGTGAAGTGGCTAAAGGATCAAACTTTTCAATCAAGAAAATAAACATTTCAAAGTAACAGCAAAAAATCATAGTGTTTTAACGAGAATAATGATTGTACATACTCCCGCCTGCGGTGACACAGAGCCCGGTTGGTCCAATATATCGGAACATTAGGGCACAACGTAATAGCCTAAAAGAACCACAGAAAGACATATTAATTCTTAAATAAATAAATAAATAAAAGGGGCCTTTACGTGTATCCTTTCAAATGTTAAACCCGCAAATCTAAAAATACCTCGGTATAAGCATCAATGGCAGCAGCAAATCGATTTTTATTGAAATAACTGTTTCCATCTATTCGAAGTTGCTCGGCTTGTTTAGCCGTCGACGCAGCCACTGTTGGCGACATTTTTCTTTTCTGACCTCTGCCAATTATTTTTTCTCCATATGCATAAAGCTGACTACGATTGCAAGTATAAACGTACACAAAAATACAGATTACACAGGCAGATTACAATAACAAATGTATTTTATGATTGGAAAATGAAGGGAATGGAAATTCGTGGTGGGAAAATGAAATTGAAAGTGAAATTCCAAAATTATGAGGTAAAATGAGTTATGTTCGTGATTTTTCGAGAAAAGTTGATATATTTCTAGCGAGAAAATTGCAAGGGTGGGCTCCAACTTATTGTGCCAGTAATAAATTGGTCTACAACTTTTCATGACAGTTGAATAATCAATCCACAAATATAAACCCTCCAATTGTAGGCTAGTCATACCGATGTAATTCTTTTGTATCTAAGTTATAAAGTTAAGTTTTGTTTTTCAATACGGGATCGTGCCTAGAAATTGGAAGTAAAATGTGATCTTTTTATATGTAATAATTTAAAATTAAGTTATCAAAGTTTCACAGCTAATAGCAATGCTATATAAAACATTGAAAATTAAATTACTATTTTACAAAGATTGTGGGCTGTCTGGGAAAAATTTTCTTTAAGATTTAATGTTGGGGGATTGTAGCCTATTTCTCCGACTTGCTTCTCTCAAACTTTTCACACTGGGACCCACGTTACATCATGGAGCCATAAAAAATGGATTTTAAGCAAGTAGAAATTGGAGTCAAACAATTACTATATCTTGTTTGAGAAACATCATGTTTAACGATTTCGAGTCACGCCAATGTGGTTAAAAGCAAATCTGAACTTGTGTAGCATATACAAATAAAGCTTTCCCAGGCACGAGAGGTCTTTGTGACTAGCCTATTGGATGACTCGACTAGTTGTGTGACTTGTGTCCTGCTTGGTCATGGAATACTACATGAGGTATAGATTGGGGGCCAATGGCGTAATTTTCCCTTTAAGGGGGGTAGGAATAAAGATAGTATGTCACACGTGTTGACGGTAAAACTTCAGTGCTAGAATATGATTGGTTGGTAGTATAAACTCAAGGTTAAGTTCGTTTTGATTGGTGGGATGATTGGAAAAATAACCACGTTGACCCTAAAGAACTTTTCGAGTCAACTTTGGATGGCCCAATTTTAAGCTGCAAAATTGTATTGGCATTGAAATATCTTGAAGGGTTAATAATTGTTTATAGAGATTTTGAAGCTAGAAAATGTAACGATTCAAGAAAATGAGCATTTAATAATGGATATCGATCTATCAACTATACTCTACGAAACCACTAGAAATTTGTTTGGATAGAAAATTAAAATCCAATCCAATATCAGAGTCAGGGAGAAAGAACAAGATTTCCCATTTCTTCAAATTCCGTGACTTAAGTTCACAATTCAGTCCATCCAACTGAAATTGGCGATGACTTAATGAAAAACAGAGACCGCCCCCATGGAAAAAACCAATTCCTTCGTCAAAACAGATGAATACAAGGCCTTGAATTCTTAGGAACAGAGGAATAAGTTACCCTAGAGATCATATTAGGTAACGGCCACAATTGAATGCTCTACGGTATGACTATTTCAGGGACCAAATCGGAAAGAGACATTTTACCGGATTTTATCGGAATCCGTCGGAACTCACCGAGGCAAGGGACTTGATTGGCAAATTGCTTGAAAAAGGATCCAAGAATGAGTATCTCCGCAAAGAAAATCAAGGACCATCATTTTCTTGGGCTGGCATTCATGGATACGGCCCAACCGACGACCCGCAACCATTGATTGGGATTCTACGTCCCGCTGCCATTTATTACATTACAGCCGCCAGGTGAGGATATAGATGGAAATAAAGTAATTGACGCGGTGTTATGTCCAAGGGGCGTTTAAAGTTGTTGAAGATGAGAAAAAGAGAAAAATAGAAATTAAGAAAATAAGAATAAAGACGCGTTAGTTGAAGGATTTCATCCCATAAAATTCAAAATAACGATTTCTTCTCTCTTGATGATAAATTAAATTTGTCATGACATTGCACGGATAAAGTAGCATGCCGCACAACTGGAAAACTTCTTAATATGAACAAAATCGCCAAGATCACATTCTTGTCCAATCTTGTAATAGTATCCAATGAAGTAATTGAAAAACAACTGACCACCACTGCTAAGCTCACTCGTCTTCTTGGCTACGCAACCTAGCGAGTTTGTTGGTCACGACAACATCCAACTGGGCAGCACGCTCTACAATTTCCTTTCTTTTCTTAGTAGACACATTGTGTGCTATCTCTGCGCAGTAAGTCCTGAAAACAAACCGAAGGGTCAGATATTGAAGGAGTATTTCTATTGATGTACAAGACAGAAGAGTCGAAAACCTGTTGTGCATCATCAAAATTTCCAGCTCTTTGGCATTGTGGACGACAAATTTCTTAAATCCATTAGGAAGATAATGGCGAGTCTTCTTGTCTGAACCATAACCGATGTTTGGCATCAATGTGCATCCTTTGAACTTTCGCCTGACACGTGAATCTATACCCTTGGGCCTACGCCAGTTCGTCTTCCACAAAAATAAAAGTTAAGAACTCGTCAACTACTTAAAAAATGTGCGACGAAATATCAAGAATATCATCGAACAGCTAAGCCAAAAATGGACAATAAGGCCAATAAAACAAGTAACAAAACAAAACCAATGATAATCAACACTCATTTGGGATTGAAAAGACTAAAGTATTTCCAGACAAAAACATGTACGTGCAGGACAACTGACGGTACAAATATTGCAGAACTCCTATTTTTAATTCTCCAATGAGCATATCATGGTGACATGGAAACTGAACCTTGGGGTGTAAAGCAGTTCCATATCATTAGGCACATTAAACTAAGAGGACATTTAAATTAACTCATATGATAAGAGATAATGTAATCAATGGTTACTGAACTTTGTTATAGGTTACTATTTGCTAACCAATCTTTAAAAAGTTGCTCGTTGCTCACTAAACTTTACTACATGTTACTCCTTGCTCACCGAAATTTAAAAGGTTACTCATTGCTCATTGAATTTTGCTATAGTTAACACTAAAATTATATGAGTGATTTATGAGCAGCTTTATTAAAAATTTAGGTGAGCAAGTAGTAACCTGTGTTCAGTGAACAACGAACAACTTTTTGAAGATAAGTAAACAAGTAATAACCTACACTGAATTTTGGTATAGGTTACTACTTGCTCACGAATCTTTAATTAGTTACTCGTTGCTCACTGATCTTTCTTTAGGTTCACTAATGGAAATAATATGAGTGATTAATGAGTAACTTTATTGAAATTTGGGTGAACAACGAGCAGCCTTTTGAGTTTCGATGAGCAAGTAATAATCTACAGCAAAGTTCAGTGAGCAAAGAGTGATATTTTAAAGATCAAAGAGCAAAAGTNCGACAAGATCTACTGAATGGTGGAAAATTGAGTTTGGAGGAGTTGATGAAAGGGTGAGCCAGGGTTTTGAGCGTTTATGTTCAGTGTTGTGCTTTATTTTGCTACAGATTGGGCTGGCTCTACCCATTTAGAGAAGCCTTAATGCTAGATGGCCCAGCCCAGATTCTTTTTTGTCAAAATGTTTAAAGAAAAATTTCATAATTATGATAGTTAATTAAGAATACAATTTTAGATTAAACAAATTTGTTAAAAAAATATAAAAATCAGTCGATTTCTGACTATGATCAGGTGCATGTGATTGTGACGTACTCTAATAAATGCTTATTATTATACTTTGTGTAATTATGATTTAATGATGTTCCATTCTGACCTAATCTATATTTGACTTAGCCCATGTTTGTCATTCATAATTTTTCATTATTTTTTCTACAATACTCAATTTCAATCACACATTTTTCATTAAAATAATATTACACGTAAATTCAAAACATTTCCTTTTCTTTTAACCACACATTCAACACCAATCACTATTTTATAATACATGCTTCACAAATAATGGGTGACAAACACGCCCTTAGTATAGTATTGATTTTGCAAAGGATTCATATTCAAGGGTTAAGGATTTTAATATGGATATATTGCTCTTTGTCCTTGAAAAGGACCAATTGCGCTCCAAAACATAGACACGGATCCACGCCTCTATTTAATCTTAATAATGCTATGTAACTCCATTAGAATTGCAACTCCAATTTAGGTGTCCCTGCTTGATAGACTAACTAAAAAAATATGAAATATAATGGCTTATTATTGAATGTCACATTAGCGTTATCTACATTGAATTGCAATCCCGTTGGGACTAAAAAACATTACTCATTTAACCTTCCCAACATTGACGAATGGACTCTTCTTGTAGCTTATTGAAGCCACGGAATCTTATATTCATTTATTTTTCATTACCACGGCTTTGCTAATCTCACAGACCTATTTACTCACCTTCACGTTGGAGACCTTTACACAGAAAAATACACACTTCACAAATTGTACCGATCTTCTCGTACTCAAGGCCTACTATCTCCACTGGACCTATGACCCAATTTCCAAGCCCAAGCCGACTCTCTCCATAGCCTTCATTGCCCCCTCCGACCAAGCCTGATGGCTAGGTTGCTTGGGCCTTGAACCCAACCAGTGCCGGAATGGTAGGGGCTCAATCTTTAGTGGCATTCAAGGACTTCAACGAATCTATGGTCATGAAAACCTACAATATCTTATCCTACATTTCCATAGTGGAGTCGAGACTATTTTATGCAAGGTTCTAAAATGCATAATGCATGGCAATGAGTTACTGTCAAGCATCAAACATTACAAGCATATGCGTGTTCATACAAAGCATATACGTAATTATGAATTAGTTTTTAATATTATTTTAAATATGCTAAATAAATAAATAAATAATGCATTCTTTGAACTTTATACATATTCTTCAAATTTTCAACAAAAATCATTTTGCTTAGAATCATAAATATTACAATTACCAAGTAATTGTAATTACTCTTTATCAATCTCATCTTCAAGTCATCTTTCGTATCATTCGATGTAAAATTATCTTCATCGGGCTCCCTTATTTCAACTCCAAGAATTTCTACAAGAGGTAAGATATTATCATCTACATCCTGAACAAAATCACAACTATCAACAATCAAAAAATGTGTATTACTAGCACTACTTGCAAGTAAAACTAGAGGAAGATTGAAGAAGGAGGAGGCTTGAGCTCGACGCAGATAATTTTAACTACACGAGAATTTTGTTGTGATTTTTTTTCTAAACGTCAAAATCCTACAAATTGTTGTACATAATTCATTGGTTTAGATGATTTGGGCTAATTAATGTTTGTTGGGCTAAATCTGCCCTTTTAAGTTATAAAAATGGATTGGACTTTGTAAGACTAATTTTGACATAATTTTTAGGGAAAAAATCATTTTCTACTATTAGACTAAAAAATAAACCAAAAATACTACATGATTAGAAAAAAAATTACTTTAATAGAACACTTTCCCTATTTTCATCTGTAACTGAAACGTTGAATGACAATCAAAACAGAAGGAATTTATTGAAACTGCTAAATATGTGCAAACTCAAATTCAAGAAACCAGCTTCGATGATGAATTGAAATCAACAATGGTTTCAAGAAGGTTTTCGGAGTGGGTGATAAATATGATATTGCAGTATTATATTGTGAAATCTATACGTAGATGAAGAAGAGCATAGACTACATAGTCCCAATCACCAGCCTATCCAGTTTGGAATGCCCACAATCCTACAGTTTTCTGTGTTGTCCATCTTCAGAAGTCTTAACACTGTAGGAGTTTGCATCAACAACGACATACTGTTACTCATGTTTCTGCATTGGATAACTATGGCGTTGAATTATTAATTTTTTTTTTTTGCATTTCATGCTGCAATAACCAAAATGGCTTATATGTTTGTATGATTGAAACACGTTGGTGGTTGAATGAGTTGCATTTCACATTTGTCTATTCAAAATGCTCATTTTTCTACGTTTGTTACAGTTCGTTTTGTAAGTGTTATGCCCTAGATCCAATCGATTTAGGTTGTAAACGCTTTTAATATATTTAATGCATTTGATTTTGGCGAGATCTATTATTTATTTAAATTGATTTTGTGATAAATAATATTAAATAATAGAATCCGAAGACCCAATTTTTAGGTAATCTGTTAATCACAAGGAGTTGTGATTGTGAGATACAAATTACATATAATTGGATCTTGAATAAACCATGGTCGTAAGTAATAACGAGATACGGATGTCGTTAATACAGTTAGACCATCACGTGTGGCATTTCTTACTTGTGAAGTAAGTAGCTGATCTCACGAGCTAAAGTGTGGTGACACTTAAATGAACATGTGGATGTTTTGTTGTAGAACAAAACATTGGAGACCCGTCGAGAGATTCCACATGGATAACTATCTGAGTGTCAGTGGCTAATCTCTAACGTTCGGTAGTGGGATTAATCCTTTGACTTGAGGTCGTCATAGTACCCTATATGAGGACAGTCATACTTTGGCGGTGTTGGATGTTGCTCTGAAAAGGGCCGCTAATACGACATCGTTCGGGTACGCAAGAATCGTATGAAAGTTGTGATTGATCAATAAAGGATTCGTCAC